GACCCTAATACCGATTTTGTCGCCTTGACTTCATTTTGCGACGACGACAACCGTAATAGGGCTGATTAAGTTTGTCATACTATAGAGTAATGAAAATATAGGCGAATAAATGCTCTCATAGTTTATTTTCAAGAAAATTCGAGTCAGTAGAAGTTATATATATCGTTTCTGGGGTTTGAGTGAGAATATTGAAGTCACTCAATTTTAAAATGTTAAAAATATCGTAAACTGCAGGATATTTGCTAGTGGAAATTGGTTCTATATTAAAAAATAAGTGAAAACTACGTGGTAACATCGAAAAATACGGAAATAATCAAGTAAAATTATTGAAAAACGATGAAATGTTTCTTCGAAATCGAATGGGTCTACTGCGTAAATCAGCATGTTGACTACGCAAAAGCGTGCTGAGAGTCACGTGCATAAAAAACAAAACGTAATGTTCCTTGCTTATACTTTCATTACCCGCTAGCAACGTGGACTAGTACGGCATCGGAAACTCCTCGATACTCAGAGTTTTATTAACTAGTTCCACTTAAGAACTAGTAGTGCAAACTACTGTAAATTTTAACATGGAAATGTTTTACGAGGTAACCAATTGACTTCCTTTGCATTATCTGCAGATGGCACTATACTAGTTCCAGATTCAAAGTGTCAATTGGTTCTCTTCGCATTACTTAGGGATACATTTTGTACTAGTACGGCTTATAATTAGTGCAGGACTGACGAAATCATAACATCATAATCATCGCTATCTCATTAGTGACTCGCGCGAAATAATGCGACTTTTGAAAAAATAAATGAAATAAATAAAATCAAGCGTTTTTCAACATAGACATTCTTTCATTGTACCGTTCATGGTATAGTAATTAAAAGGTAGAAGCATAACTTCAACAAATACAGTGCAACAACAACCATATAAGAATTTGTTATTGTTATTAATTATATTAGTTATGCGTTCAAAATGTAAACAAAGCGATAAATGTTTAATAAATAGTTCTCAATTTGTAAGTTTCCTATATTTCCTTCAATGTATCGTTGTCCGTCACAGATACGCCTTGAAATACTTCGCTAGGGAATAGTAGAAAATGCTACATACCTTTCACACATACATGAAGTATACTTTATTTTAAGTAAAAAATACGACTGTAAATTATTGGTCTCTTCCAGAACTGCAAGAAGTAAAAGTAGATTGTAAGATTCTTGCCAGTACTGGACAAAGGATTCATATCCTCGAAAATGCTTTCGAAACCTTCAAAATACCTCAATCGACAGTTTATATGGAGGGATCCAGTATTATAGGACTAGATTTACCTATACCGAAAACATAAAGCCATATAGCATGTAACCAGGACTTTTGAAACACTGAGAAAAGGCCGTTACGTAAATCTACATTTTTGCAGTCAGTGTTTACTTCAATTTAGAAATTACTATCGAAAATATATATACAAGTGTATATTCAAAATTTCCTTCACTTATTATAAATATTGTACCCTTAGATAAATGGGTTAAAAAGAATACAACAATAACCCACAAAACAAGGAAAACAGCAATAAACAAATTTGTAGATTGGCTGCAGTTGTATATTCCTTCAAATATGCACTAAGCATTAAATCTATGGTCCGGGTCAGTCAATGAAGATATTGGTTTGGAACTGAGTATGTATAAAATACTTTGTACATACTTTTAAGTGCTGGTGAGGCGGGGAAATTCTAACAACTAAAGATAAATATCTGAAAATTATCAGTCTTCCAGCTACGATACAATATCACATGTGTAGAAAACAGTGATCTTGATTACCGAGGCAATGTATTCTTTTAAACCCATGGTAGAAAAATACAGGTAGAAGCATCAACGCTTTGCAACATTGATATGTCAAAATATTTTAAATGTCTTTTCAAATATAAGTAGATTTTTATATGTTTTCTCATACGACGTCATTCGGAGGTTATTATAATACACGTTTTTCAACAATTTTTACAAATTGAAATAATTTTTCATTCAACATTTTCAATTCCAAAATTGGTTTGACAGTTCATTGTCCTAGCAGCTGAGTCGATGCATCTACCTATATTCTTCTACCATGTTTAAATCTAATACTATATATATATATATATATATATATATATATATATATATATATAGTGTCCATTTTTTTCTCCATACACAAAGGGCCTCAAATGTTTTGCTCTATACTCCGCAAAAGTTACGATAGAATTTTAAATTTGATACAATCCTAGGGGTTACATTAAGAATCATTTGTACAAAATATGTATCAGGTTGGTCTGCATTGTGATATAGGCCCACTTTAAAATTCTATTCAAATTCTTCAAATGTTGGTAATTTGAGATTTTAGAAAGAACAACACATTTTTTAGAATGATTATAAGTATAGGACCATGCTTTGATATAATCCTTATATGAAGGTATACTCTGATTACAGCTATTTCCAGGATCTTGGTCACATTTTTCAATTGATTCTACCTTTATTTAGCATCGTAGCTTCTAAAGGGGTAGAAAACCTCTTCGCTGAAATTTTTCAATGTCGATGTTTCGGAGAAGCGCCCACAAAAAAGTATCTCCTGATTTTACCTATTTCGAGGGTTTTGGTTATATTTTCGAATCGATTTGGCTTAAAATGTGTGTAAAGGATAATATGGGGGTAGGGAACCATCTTACATGGGCTATTATAAACAGTTGATGTATATTTTTTAAAAATGTGACTTATTATTTAGGTTTTTGACTCTCAAATAAAAACCCTGCCTGAAAAATAGGATCAGGTTTTTGAAACACTATAAATTGCCCGTTACGTGAACCTGTATTGACATTTTTGCGATGGGTATTTTTTTCTAGTTAGTCGAGACATTATTTATACTAAAAATTGTGCCACTTATGTGAGCCAGATCTGTGAATTATGATACTTTAAAAACAATGCATTAAAGACTATAACTACGGGCCGGCAACGCGGAACGGCCCAACTAGTTCTAATTAAAAATATAAACGAGTTTTGTTATTTCAAAAACAAATTTATTGCATTTATAAAAAACGTGTCAACCCTCATTTTCCAAAGAGTATGATTCAGGAAAACAATTCACTTCCTAAGTCAAGTGAACCTTACTTACTTTTTTAACTCTTCCATATTTGTACAAATCTAAATATGTATTTGTCCCTTATATTTCTTTTTGTACACTATTTTTCACAACGTTAGTTTTAATATCAATTTTTACTTCTTAAACATTTTTTGAAATATTATTAAAATTTCAGTAACGTTTACAATAAATAGTAAATAGATTTAAATTCATTACAAGAGTTTACTTCTAATGATAATTTAACTTTCAACTATAGAAGAAATATCATCAAATTTTAGAATAAGTTTAGATTTGAATGAATGAATGGTCACCTTTGGCACGAATTATGGCCTTCAAAGGGCCAAAATCTGTGGCCAAAATGTTTGAGTGCTCAAGGCTTTTCTACACCCTCCAGAATATTTTCGCGATAATATTCGGCATTTATTCTGATGGTACGGTCGATTAATACGAGCGGAGAGCGACCATCGGCTGTTATGGCGGCCCACACACACATTTCTGGTGGCCCACCGAAGGCGCACATTTTCAGCTGACCTCTTTGACAAGTAAATACTGTTCATTATTGTAGACTTGAAACATTTTAGCAAGGTTTTTTCTATTTCTTCTGAACGCAGTTCTTTAACTAGAAAATATAGCATAGCCTTAGCGTTTAGAATAGTATTCCACAAATAATTTAAGTTTGATTCTTTCCCCTGAAGGTTTAAATTTTGCATTCAGAAAAGCAGGTATATTTGATAAAAAAAACATCATCAGGCAGGACTAGCTGATGTATAATGTAATGAAGATTGCTACATTGTAGTCCGTTTAATAGTCCGTAAACCATATTTTGTTCATACATAATGTTTGCACCATCTTTGCAAACGCCAATTAATTTATTGGGATCGAAAATAGACAGTAGTTATTCACAATATAAAAAAGACCTGTCTAGTAACATTTAAATGTATTGAAACAAGTGTAAACATTGAATAGAAGACGTCGTACTCTTTGTCCACACATCTAATGCAAATAGCGAATTCATAAATGTCATTAATGTCAGCGTTTTCATTTATTGTTATTGATTAACACATACAATTTGTTAATTTATTTAATAAAATGGATTCTATAATGCCTACTAAAATAATGCTATTGCAACTAGCACTTACGCGAGCACTTTTATCAAGACTTACTGTATTTGCTATCTTCTGCTCTAAATCCACGATAACTACAACCTTAATAAGGTAGTGTGGAAGTATGACTGAACAAATATGGAAATATTTTTTTTTTGAAAATTTGAAAGAGTTGAAGTCGGCTGGTAGCCTTATTATAACTTTTTATTGTCCATGGAGTATGGCATTCTTTTGTAAGAAAAAATTTTCCTCAAATTTTAAACCAGTACATTTTTACGATTTTTTTTAATAAATTAATTTTGTCTAACGTCCTCAAAACCTTAATCACAAAAGCAAAATTATTTGGCAATTAATACGCGAGCTTAATTATCTGTATGTATTATGCATGGTAGAAGAATATAGGTAGATGCATCAACGCTTGGGAACATTAATACGTCAACATTTTTAAGTGCTTTTTCAAAAATAAGTCGATTTTTATATGTTTTATTATACGACGTAAATCGAGGTTGTACTGATATGTATTTTTCAACAATTTTTACAAATTTCAATAATTTTTCATTCACGATTTTCAATATCAAAATCGGTTTGACTGTTCATTGTCCCAGCAGCTGTGCGACTACCTGTATTCTTCTACCATGTATTTATGTGGTAGTACACACCATTTACATTTATGTCAATTCGTTTTAAACACCATCTAAAACTGAATTGACGTTTTTCTGTTTGCATACAACCAACTATTTTGTATAAGTACAATTTTAGTATTCATGGGAATGTGTATAAACAATTTTTTTAATATTTTTTTATGCGTTTAGGTTGTAACTACACTGCCTTCCTTTGTACACGACGGTCATTTTCCCCATAACTGTTCACAAAGAGAAAGAAGAAAGGCACAACCAATATACAGTCGGCACTCACGTTTAAAGAAGTGCTGCCCCCTGGGTGAGAGCTTGAGCCTGACTGAAGAGGAAGACAACAGAGCATTGTGTGTATCGACAAATAGAAATATTCAATATAGGGTTTTGAATGTGACTCTCTATGACAGCTGCATTGAAGATATGGAAACTGATTTAAATCTTCCAGTCGAAATCGGGAACCCCTGCAATACGTAAGTGTACTTTATTTAATCGACTAATATTAAAATTAAATTCACTGCATTTCGCGGCTAACCCTTTTCTTATTTCTTATTTTGTTGTATAAAAGTAAAACAAGATATATATATATATATATATATATATATTATATATATATATATATATATATATATATATATATATATATATATATATATATATATATATATATATATATATATATATATATATATATATATATATATATATATGATCCATTATCAGGAATATTAAAATTTTCCGCCACGGCTGCAAATGCAGTGAATGCGGGTTTCGCTGCTTTAATGCACATAATTTCTTCACCAGATTATTTCCAAAACCGTTCGTAATCCATAAGATTTGTACTTAGAAAAGACTTTGAAAAAATACAGTGTTGCATACAGTAGAAAAACTAATTCAGCAATGATAACTCGTAAGTCCTTGTTGTAAACATATTCATTTCTGTGTGAAGCGAGTTTTTAAATTTATATTCAAAACTTGCTTTAGGTAACGCATTTGCACATAGTTTCTAGGAGTAAAAAAACAACTCCACCATTAGAGAAAGAATTTTTTTTTATAAGAATATCTGAATTCAAACTCTTTCCACTTTAAGCTACATCAAATTGTTGGAGGTACATAGCGTGTTTGGTGGTGTTCATAATTATAATTTGGAATTGTTACAATTTAATAAAAAAAAAAAAAAAAAAAAAAAAAATATATATATATATATATATATATATATATATATATATATATATATATAGATATATATAAAGAGCTAAACAATTTTCTGGGACCAAAATGATGTTCTGGAATTTTTGCAGAAATATTTTCCTGGTATTTTCTACTTTTGCGTCTTGAAACATTTCAACACTTTTTATACCCTCCACCATAGTATGGAGGGTATATATTATAGCCCCCATATCACGGTACCTCCCTATATTCGGTATTTTGATGATTTTAGCGACATTATTTACCTGAATTGTTTCAAATTTTGTATTTGAAGTTCGTAATGGATACTACAGCCTATGCCAGAAAATTGTCTGTGCAGCTCCACGTTTTATAACCCCCATGGTACCTCCCTATATTTTGAAGATTTTAACTACATTATAAACAGATTTTGTTTACGTTTCGCATTAGAATATTGTAATAGCTTATGACAAAGTTGCTTATGCAGGTCCACGTCGTTGTATGGACCTAATATACGACTACATTTGGTGTTTTTAAGATTTTAACAGAATTTTAACGGATTTTAGTTTTTTGAAAATTGCCAAATTTTTACCAAATGGTGGAGGGTATTCAAAGTTCGGCCCGGCCGAACTTACAGCTTTTTTACTTTTTCTGAATTTGTTGACGTTTTTTGGTCATAAATATGTGGATTCTGACCCAAATGATTTTCTTTTGAAATACTTTGCTGGGACAATATAACTCCTTGAAACTTGGAAATATTTCTGCTGAAATATTTGTAATTTCTCCTATTGCAATTCTCGTCTTCACTCTTTTTTTTTTTTTAAACATTTGGATTATTTCTCGATTTGCAAAAGTAAAATCCTCCTGTAAGTGGACTTTAAGAGATTTTGTTTTCTTTTTTGCTCATTTTGACCCCTTATGGTAACCCAAAAAATATGTTTAATCAAATCAGTCCGGCGTCAAATACAAATTAAATCTTGGATAAGTTTCAAATATTTTGAAACTTTTGGAAAGAAACGCATTATAATTTAACTCAAACCAACAAGATAAGAACGTTCTCGTCGACAACAATTGGAGAAAGAAACTCATCCTCATTTTAAAAATAAAAATTTGGATAAAAGTTTAAATTTATACCAAATTAGTCCTTTTCATTGGGCAACTTTTCTTTTTTGTAACACAAGAAAATTTTGTAAAGGTTAACGCCCCGCTTTCAAAATGGATAAAACTTAAATTCACAAATTGTGATCTTCTGGACTATATTTCATTTTTTTCAATACCCAACCCGATGACACGGAACATACATTGGAAACAACAAGAATGGATTTGGACTCTGCATAGGACCAGGTTAAAAGAACATACCTAGACTGCCGGGACTATGTTCCAGAAGTGGAAGGAAAGCCTATCGATAAAAAATAAACTGAGCAAGCAATATATGGATACCATGGGATCATACAAAAAGGCGATGAGTTCAATAATGGAAAAATTCAAAATCTTTTGGATGAAAAGACACAGGAAAAAAATGAAAAGAGAGTCAGAGATGTCACAACAAGGAAGGTAAGTGGATTTCACAAATATATCGCGGCTACGTCCATGCGATAAAGGCTTTAAATGTGTGGGTGGTTATAGAGAACGACAGAAATCTTTTTTCAGCTATTTACATAAACAACTCAAAATTAAGCAATGAGCAGGGAAAGCTAGAGAAATTATTTCGCATGTCCCACTAACAAATGATGGATTTACGCTAGCATGGAAAAATTTCACGAATCGGATAAAAGAATGTAAATTTATGAACACTATTCAAAAACTACAGCGCACGGTAAATAGCTGCATTCAGACACTGGGGATGCTTGATGTAGATGTTAAAGGATGGGATCCGATTTTAATATATTTTAGAAGAACTCGATAACTTATTAAGCGATTGTAAACAAATCCCTAAGTGGGAACAATTTGACGGTTTCTTAAGAAACTTTGGAGTCACTTGGTAATAGAAAGCTCTCTATATCAAAATTTGCTCAACAAAATCCAACTAACAATCACACACCTAGATTTTTGAAAACATTTCAAACAAATGTCTCAAAAAATACAAACAAATTCAAGGAAGTCTTACAAATATAACATTACCTCACAAAAAAATAATAATAATAAGCCGAAAAATACTCAAATATGTCACCGCTGCAAATCAAATAACTTCATCAGAGATTGCAGCGAATTTTTGACAAAGAGTGTGATTGACAGAATTCTCATCGTGAAACTATCACATTTATGTTATAATTGCTTGTCATAATATAACGGAGTAAAGTATTGCAAAAGTCGATTTGGCTGCAGTATTTGTACTATGAGACACAATATTTTGTTACACAAGGGAACGGAAACAACAAATACATACCTAGCTCGAGTGGAAGCACAACCTAGTACTAGTACTGCTGCTCTTACAAATCAAATACAGTCAAACCTAGAACCAACTACTACTGTAGTAAAAACTTAGAAAATCACAACACCGAGATGTAACAGCATTAAAACTGGCTGACCCGAAATTTTACGTCAGTCAACCAATCGATTTACTTATTGGAATGGCATAGGACCCTTAATATTCAATGGAAACAAATATCACTTCTAAACACAACTTCAATATAGAAAGTTTTTGGGAGGTCGAAGAAACCCCTAACAAAGTTTTACGGTCAGAAAAAGACCAAATTTGTGAACAAAACTACACTGAAAAAACAATACGGAACAAGGTTGGAAGAAATGTAGTGACTATCCCATTCAAAAAATGCGAAGAATTGGGGAATTCCCGAAACATCGCACTAGCTCAATTCTACAGAATGGAGAAAAAAATTTATGAGAACACCCTAGATAAAAGAACAATATGAGGTCATATGTGGAAAATCAATCCGAATGAAATAGATAAAAAGCCAAATTATTATCTGCCACATCACTCTGTGATAAATCCTGAACGACTCACGACGAAGTTACGAGTCGTATTAAAAGCTTCATGTACTTCATCAAACAAAGCAAATATCTTAGGCGTTTATTTTCCTTCATACCATCTTCAATGACAAATAACAATGTATCCTCAAATCGAGGAGTTTTCTCAGCAATATTCTAATTATTTGACCATGTGTATGGCTGGCACCTTTGGTCGTCGTAGCTAAGCCAAAAATGCAACAAATCTGGCTAAACAAAATTGACTTGGATGATCAATTGAAGCCAATAACTCATATGAACTGGAAAATTTTTGTTAAAAAAAATAGTAATATTGAATATCTCAGAGTTCCTCGATGGAATAAATACACCCCAGATGGTTCTGTAAAGACTCATGTATTTTGTGATGCGTCGGAAAGCGCGTAGGGAGCCACTCTATATATTCGTGGGGAAAATACTGATCATGAAACACATACATTCTTATTATCAGCAAAGACTTGTTTCGCTCTTATTAAAAAACTATCAACTCGACTCGAGTTATGCGGGGTAGTATTATTATAAAATCTAGCAAAATCCGTAGTAAATAGTCTAAATATATCCAAATATTCGACACAATTTTGGACAGACTCCACCATCGTCTTAGCATGGCTAAAAAAGCCTCCTTGTCATTGGAGCACATTTGTTGGAAATAGAGTCTTGGAAATTGCTTATAATGGAAAACAATCCAGTTGATATTGCGAGCCGTGAATGTTCACCCACAGAGCTAAAGACCAATGAACTTTGGTGGCAGGGAACTCAGTGGCTCAGAAAGCCAAAAGACCGTTGGCCAACACAAGATATCCCAAAAGATATAAATTTAGAAGCCAAAACGGCAAAAGACATGACTCTTTTTGCGGAAAGAGATGACCCTTTCTCCCCTTTAGCTTAAGTTTGTCGATCATATACGCCCTAAGACTCTGGAAAAATACTGAAGCAAACATGCAACATCTTCGCACCTCATCAAAAGACCTTACATGAGGCGAAATCCAAGATGGAAAACGATCTTGCATAATTCGTACCCAGATATTCGGATATGGAGACGAATATAATTCACTAATGAAAAAGACCCAAATTTCTCTTTCAAATCCTCTATTGACACTCAACCTGTTTCTAGACTCAAAGGGTATTATTAGAGCAAATGGACGATTGGTACAATTGCCAGTCCTTACATATAGCGAACATCATCAAATTATACTACCAAAGGGTACAAAACGTAGCAAATTGCTAGTCGAATTCACTCATAAGGTAATCAGTTAATGACCCGAGTGTTAAGATCCGAATTCTGAATATTTGGACTAAAGCCTCTAGTCAAACAAACCATACGCAAATGTCGAGTTTGTTTAAT